AATAGACTTTTTTTGCCGTATGAGTATACGTTGCCCAGGACGCACCGCGTGGAGGCATGTCTATCGCACACAAAATTGTGTTGGACCGCAGACAATGAACCTGTATAATTTTTAATTCATTTGATTTATTTAAAGTGAGCTTCATAATTAAAATACGTGCGGTTGCAACTGCGTATGCTTTGTAGATAAATTGCTTATTATAAGTACACGTGATCTTGTTAATTATTTACTTGCACTTTATTATTCGTTCTTAAATTCCCTTGAGATTTCTCAATATGTGATAGACTTAGTGTGGTTCCTACCACACATAAGGTAAGGGTAATTAAAGTCGAAGTTCAATAGATCAGATATTATCAATTTGGATAGAGGATCGGTATAGTTGCTTCTTTTTTTAGTTTAAAACTTTTTGGACTGATTAATTTTGTGGCGGTTTTTTTTTGCGACCACAGTCTACCTCGTACAAGCCCTAACTAATCATCATCAAAAGCTCGTAACTTGTTACGAAGACTACAAAAATGAGTTGAATCGTCTTCGTGGTCAACCAGATCGTGGTGTTTCTGGAGCCTCTTCCTCTTCCAATTCCATTTGCTCTCTCTACGGCCTGGAGAGCAATGAAGACGCCAACGCCTTCCAGCCCGGTCATACACGAGGTACCTCAAATGCCTCATCAACTGACTCTTTTGACGAGAAAAATCCTCCTGGAAATCACCTTAGGAAACGCCATGTTGACAATGTGGCATCTCAGTGAAAATCCGGTAGATCTCATCCCATTCTTTATTCTCTTTACTCTTCATTTTTATCTTCTATTTGTGCATTTTTATTGTTATTACTTAAATTTCTGTCTGCGTAGCATATTTGTCTGCCTATCTGCGCCCACCATTCTCTTCCTCTGTGTCTCTGTGCAGTTATCTTTTGTGTTTAAGTGAATAAAATATATTTAATTACTAAACCCGAGATGTTGTCTTTTCTCATATACTGTTCGAGTTCGTCCATTCGTAATGCTATGTTCCGTTAATAGATGGATAATGACGATGAGGCTAATTTGCCTAATGCTGAAGAATGCTTACGCCGGTGTGAGACCTTCGCAAGCATTACAAACACAAATAATGCTTTAGCCATGATGTTCCTTCAAAATAGGGATTGGGATTTACAGGTGAACTATTCGTTGTACTGAAAATATTTAAGTAGCTGTTATTTATGTGACGTGTTTGTGTTCTTTATTTAAGCTAGCGCTTTCGGCCTATTTTGAAAATGCGGAGCTTGCTGAACGGTAAGAGCTTTCTTTCATTGCTAACTCCCAACGCAATCGTTGTGACTCAATGATCCTATTTTTTGGGAATAGACTTTCAAATTCATTCATTTTATTATAACCGAGGCAGATAGAATTAAATACAATCTTTGTGGACTAAATCTCACCGCACTCTTCATGAAGCTTTGAGAAGTGATTGATATCAATCTTGATGCTTCTATTTCATCAACATTTTGAATATGACCTAACTTTCCTTGTTTCTGTAATATAATGGATAGAAGCACGCTGAGATATTTCAAATCAGATTCGGATGTCGTAGACGTCTCCCATAAGTGAAAGCATGACTGGAACACTCCGCAGTAGAATAATTTTTACCTTGTGAACATATGCGAGGGATACCATTATTGACACATCATTCAGATAAACAATGTCAAATTCAGCCAGAAATCGATCCCCCTCCTGTTTTTCTTTCATGCATGCAGGTCTCTCTTTCCGGTCTTCCATTACACCACTGGTACAGCTCGAATCTCGTTCTTCCGATTTTGAAATCTCTTGTAGGCTGTTCACTTCCAACCTAATGGGGTAGATATGAATGCCACTCAGTCAGCTCATTAAAGTAGCCCATTTTTTTAATTGCTGAATTTCATAATTTGATCTCATGACGTTAAATATTTTACGACATTCAATAAACGATACCCAAAGCTACTTAGAACATTGTGTAGTTAGACGAGTTTTCTTAGTCAATTCTAATTATTTAGACTTTCAGGTAAAGCCATGGGGTTGGAATGCATCTATATAGAGCCAGAACATTATCCCAGGTCTCTAACATCACATTTCATCAGGTAGTCGCATTGGGATATACCTCAAGTGCTAATTTCATGGTTGGGAAGGTCAAATTGCTGTTGAAAGGTGAAGTTCTCAAATGGAGATGTCGTCGCTAATATATAGTTCGCGACAGTCGTTTGGGATCTTTTTTGTTGGTCTCGCTTATTCCCTTTATTTAATGCTCTGTAAATCCCATTTTGTTCTTTCATTATTATGAGTCCACTTTCTCACCTTCTTGATTGATTGGCAAGTATTCTAGGGTTTCTTCTTTCTCACTTTTTTTCTCCCTAAAAGTTTTACTCGACTTGAAGACAAGTTGTTGACAAATCTCAACGCCTTATTACATCGTTGTGTTGCGTCAGAGTTAATTTGGTTAGACACGCTAATTTTTCCCTCAAAGCTAAGTTTGTGCCTTTGTGAATGGTTTTGTAGCCATTTTTCGAGAGGTAGAGAGGTGTACGATAGATTTACCTTCACGCGGTGCAACGTAAACTCCTACGGCAAAAATTTTCTATTAACCAACAGTTGACTTCGGATTTCAAACTACCACGACCTCACTGTGTGTCATATTTGACCACTTTCACAATACTCACCTTACCTTTTTCTCTACCATTTTTGTCTGTCTTTTTATATCTGTAAATCACTCTTCTGTTCCCCCTCTCGAGTTTTTTTTCCCACTTTGATGTCCCTTCTCCGCTCCGTGAAGCTCGAAGTTAGTTAAAGGGCTAATGATCACTATCAAAACGCCAGCCATTTGATATAACTATATAACATTATATCAATTCGTGGATAATTTATTTCTCTAACTCAGTTATGTTGCTCTCTGTACCAGTGTCCATTGAACATTTGTGTTGGAGTACAGACTTAGTAACATCCTTCAATTGCGTTAAATTTGTGGTAGCCATACTCATTAATCCTCCCAGTCATGTGTCCTATCGCTACTTTCTCGTTTTTTCTATATGTTAAGATCTAAGCACGATTGAATTTTCAACGATGTCATATCATAGTGCTGTCAGGCATTTGGAGATCGAATGCATGGTCTCTTTCAAATTTACATGGTTCTTTTGATTAATGGGAAATAATCAATTACTTCTAGTTATATAAATATTATTTGACCTGAGAATGCATAGCTTTGGATAGAATTAAAGTCAGATATGGAGACGCTGTTCTTGAAGAGTCAAAATCTTTCTTTTTTGGGCTTCTGCTTTGATTTGCGCCTCTCTGTCCACGCTACCTCCAGGATTCCCGGGTAGTTCACTTCTGCTGTAGAATAGTTCTATAGGCTGTACCGTGAAAGCTTTGAATTCTCTTGCCATTTCGTAGACCAGTATCTCATGCTCCGTGTCAAATATATCAGACGCCAAAGGAATTCGGAACATGTGCACAAATTCCGTCCTCATTTCTAGAGCGCTCTTTTTTGTTGCTGAAACCTACAAGAATTTTTATTTTCACTCGAGTATGCATTTATCAAGGTTTTTATTAATCCAAAACATATAATCGGGTGTTTTTTTTTCGCGTCGAATCAGAAATCAGACTTCCATAACTGTTTACCAAAAAATTTAGTTCTCTTTGCCTCGCTTTTGAAAATGGCACTAAGTGGAGCACTCGGAGAGCTCGGAGATTCGTTGATTTATTACACGAATGATTTATTTTCACTAACAAAACCACTTATTACTTGAATGTTACAATCATTGTTATGCGTCATGGTAGCTTGGGAAAAGGTAGGTGTAAACGGCCTTCTGAATATTGATACAAGCCTGCAAATCTATTTTGGTCTTGTTTTTTTACCCACATGAGTGGTTCTGGTGTGCAAGTCAAATTTGGCCTATTGTTATTACAGTAGCCATTTGATTATGGCATTAGATTTTGCCTATGAATTTTCATTTTGGACAGGGTTGAGCACCATTCTGGGTCCACTCCGATGTGAATCTCGCATTTGTTAACCCCCTCCCCCCTTCTCGATCAGTCCTAATCTCTACCCTTGTTGGTTTAGATCCGGTGTTCGGTTATTCCTGGACAAAGGAAGGATTTGGTAGTAGGCGAATTTCATATGAAAATTATCTTCTTTCCCTTTGCCCCCCCCCC